CCCAGCCGTTCATTGGCACCAAACCTGTCGCCTGAAACAAGGAAGTTTCATCGTCCGTGTAGAAAGTACTACGAACAGGGACGCTCTCTGTAGCGGAGCTACACAGCTCCTTAAGCCAGAGGAAGACTTAACGCTCTACGAGCAACTTAGTTCCAAAGAACTAACGACTTTACGAATCAACAAGCTTTACAGCTTCAGATCCCTGTTCCAGGGGGACTTAACGATTCAGTGAATCGACAGCACTTAGTGCTCAAGAGTAGCTACGTCGAGGAGGTGTCGCTAGCTCTTAGTGATCAGTGATCAACGATCAAGACGGCTCGCAAGCCACGTGTCTTTCAGATCAAAATGGGAACTGATTTTATTTTTGTTAAAGCCTATAGAATATCTTAATCCTACTCAAAGATCTTTCGTACCTAATGGCTGACACTCGTCAGCCCCTACAAACCAATAAGATATTCTATATCACCTTTACAAAGGGGTAACCTCAGGTGTGTAACACCTCTGGTACAAAGTACCCTGATTTCGTGCAACCCCGTTACACCCTCCCCCACCAGACTGACGTTTGCCAAAACGTCAATCGAACTCGTGTTCTCAGCGAGAACAGTGCGCGTACGGTGAACCTCACGGTAACGTACGCTCCAGCACGATGTCCTCATCACCAAACGAGTCAAAGGCTCTGTGTGACTACCTCGGGATAGAGGAGGAGGTGGACTATGGTAGCGATACCAGTGTCCGCGGTGACACAGGGACAATGTCCGGCTCACTGATGCCTGAGGCACAACTTTCGAACACCCCAAATCCGTTCGCAGAACGTGGAGGTGCGAGCGCGCCACCAGCGCAGCATGCAGCATCTGGTTCTGATGAGACTATCATCACGAACCCGCTCGATGAGCAACAACAACTGCTTGTTCAAAGAGAAGAAAACGCTCAGCGTTATGTACAAATGGCTGCAACTCTTGAACGCCAGCGTGACTATGTGTTCACCCCACCCAGTGTGGAGGAACGTCTACGTCAAGCGGCCGGCCAAACATTGGCAACGTGGGTCATTGGCCATGGGCCTAAGACTCCTGAGGAGGTGGTGATCTGCCAGGCACTTCGTGAGAGATACCTGGAGCCGCACCTAACGACTCAAAGTCAATACAAGGCACGCCTTGACATGCAAGCACGTGGTGCACCGGTTCCACCGATCAAGGGTGTACCCATTCTCTTGTTCGCAGGCGAAACAGTGAGCGAAGAAGACGATGCCTTTGTTCACTGGGCGCACTATGTGCGTCGCCTCAGCAACATTTTTGCTCTAAGGGCTAGTGCCAGTGTGGCTGACGTGCGTCTTGAACGCAAGCTTCGGTATGATTATGCCAAGCTTAAGGCCAGAGGCCAATTGCGCAAGCGCGCGCGCTGTGCTTCGGCTACTAAGGTAGCCGCGAGTGCTGGTCAGTCTGTGACCAACAACCCGCCAACCCGCACCACTAGTGGTGGTGAACGGCCTCGGCCTCGAGCTGACCATGGCCACGATGCTCAAAAGCCTCCAAAGCATATGGGCAGTCTTGCCGAAGGGGTACCTCAAATTCCCATGAGTTTTCAGACTCAGGGTACCCACGCCACTTTACCAGATACTGGTATTGGCCCTGACGACGACGTCATTTCAGTAGTCTCTCGACATGGAATTGACGACACCCATGCTCATCGAGCAAAGTCGGTGGCGGCCGGTGTACCGGTGGAGGCCCACGAGAAATTGGTTCTCGAAGTGAAGGGTCTTCAAGAGGCCTTGGGTAAGTCCCAGTGCATGCTGGATGCGATGCAAAGCCGCCTTCAGACGATGGAGCAATCTCAAACTCGGAGCGAGGCTCAGTTGGACTTGCTGATTCGCCTACATCAATCCGGGGCAGTGCCCTTGTCGTCGGCGCAAGCACCTCCAAGTTCACATGGGAAGGATCCCGGTACGGCTTAAGTAAGCCTACGTAGAACACTGGATGTGTGCGCAATTTGAGCGGGAGGTTTAGCGTATACGCAAGTCACTTCTTGGCCGTGACCGTAGACGGTCCAATAAAGCGTGGACGCAACTTAGTCTTAAAGACAGCCGACACTACATTTGTAGGTAGATTTTTAGCATTGAGTAGTACTTGGTCTCCGACCTCATAACGTTCAATACAATTTCTGCCTTTGGCATCAGCTTGTTGTTTTTGGGTATCTTGGCTATCAGCCATTGCGTCACGCACATGTCTTAAGACATTTAATCGCGTTGCGAGAAACTCGCTTACCTGTTTTTGAAAAGTAGCAGGGCTGATATCAGCAAGCCGATCGGCAACCTCTCCCCCTCCAAGCCCTGATTCACGTAGTGATAGTGTTAACGGAACGCGAGGGTGAGTGAGGACGTTTATATAGAACGGAGTAAAGCCTGTGGAGGCATGAACAACGTTATTTAACGCAAACTTAACAACAGGGAGCATTGAGCTCCAACGTCTAGGCGTATCAGCGCAAATACTGCGCAAAATGTCGTTGATGACGCGGTTTACACGCTCAGTTTGACCGTTGGTCTGCGGATGATCCGCTGTGGACATGTCCAAACGAGTGCCAAGCAGTTTGAAGATAGACTTCCAAAACATCCCAGTGAAGCAGGGGTCTCTATCAGAGATAATTGCCACCGGCAAGCCATGTTGGCGAAACACACGGTCGATAAACAGCTTTGCTGTACCTTCCGCATCGATGCTATCCGGCACAGCCGCTAAGTGCGCCATCTTGCTTTTCGGTCAACAAAGACCACAATACCAGTGTTGCCTTCCGAATCTTTCGGTAGGCCAAACACAAAATCCATGCTCATGGACTCCCAACAACCAGTGGGTACAGGCAAACTAGCCAGCGGCGCCGCCGCATGTGCCGAGGGTTTAACCCGTTGACACGTTTCGCACGTACGCACATAGGTGCGCACCCACTTGTAAAGTTTGGGCCACCAATAACTTTGGCTCACCGAGCTATAAGTCTTCTCACGACCGAGATGACCACTTAAAGCAGTATCATGTGCCTCATAGAGGATTCGATACTTTAATTTCTCATCATGAGGTACAGCGATACGAGGGTTGTCCTCAATATTCGTGCGATAGCACAACAGGCCACTATCGATGGAATATCGATATAGCCTCGCACGTAAACGTGCCGACAATTCTATGTCCGAGTCTTTAAACTCATCGCTCCCAAGAGCACGTAGCAAAGCTACATACTGATCATCCTTGGCATATGCCGCACGAATTAAGTCAGGGACTGACGACGACAGAGTCGTAACATGAGCAAGCTCATAGTCAGGTCGACGCGATAGCGCATCAGCCAAAGCGTTTTGCTTACCTGGCTTGTACTTCACCTCGAAGTTATATTCAGCAAAGAAGGAAAGCCAACGAGCCATTCTCTGTGGGAGGTGAGGCGACTGTGTCGCAGTGCGCAATGACGCATGATCGGTATAGATCACAAATGGCTTCGAGCCAAGCAGATGGACTCTGAATTTGACGAGAGCGTACTTCATAGCAAGTAGCTCTTTGTCATGAACAGGATAGTTCTTTTCAGCAGCTTTCAGCTGCCGAGATTCAAATGCGATGACGCGTTCGCGTCCGTCGACACCTGTTTGTAACAGAGCACTGCCTATGACAAAGTCAGATGCGTCACAGACAACACTGAAAGGCCGACTAGAATCGGGCAAAGCCAATATTGGCGCATGAAGGAGACTCTCCTTAACTGCTTCAAAAGTATTATGTTCGGTGTTACCCCAACACCAACCCACATCCTTTTTAAGGAGATTGGACAATGGCCGAGCCATATCTGCGTAATTCGCACTGTACTTATGTAAGTAATTGGCAAGGCCAAGCCACTTACGCAAGTCCTTTTGGTTCTTGGGGACTGGCCAATCGACTATGGCTTTCACCTTAGCGGGATCCGCTCGAAGGCCTCGCTTCCCAATGAAGCACCCTAGAAAGGGAATCTCTTCTGCACCAAAGATGCACTTCGATGCGTTTGCATACAACTTATTCGTTCGCATGCACTCAAGCACAGATCGTAAATGATCGATTTGGTTATCCACATCTGATCGCCCATTCATTGCACGACTATGGACAAAAATGTCATCAAAGTACGTTTGTGCATAGCCTCGATGAGGTCTGAATAATTGCGTTACCAGCCGGTTAAATGTAGCCGGGGCGTTAGATAGCCCTTGTGGTAGAACGAGCCACTCTCGGAGCATACCGCTCGGATTACTCACCGCTGTTAGCGGAATATCACTTGCTCGCATGAGCAGTTGGTAATAACCATCGACTAAGTCGAGTGCACTGTATAATGTACATCTTGCCATATTGTTCTAAAGCACATCCTTTCTAGGAATAGGCGTCTGCGCCGGTATAGTGGCTGCATTAAGCTTATTGTAAGCATGCACAATACGCCACTTGCCATTTGGCTTTTTGACACAAAATGTCGGTGTTGAATGGGGAGATTTACTCTCACGAACCATTCCAGCCGCGTGCTTAGCACGAAAGAAGTCGTCAATGACGTCGCACTGTTCTTTAGGCAAAGGCCACTGCCGTGTTACACAGTATTTAGTTCCAGGAACTAGGTCAATCTCATGACGTACACCTCTATCTGGAGGTAAGGCAGAAGGTGGGTTGTGACACAACACATCTTGAAATCCCTTGACTAAAGGATAGAACGGATCCAAAGGATCTTTAAGGATTGAAGATCCACTTCGTGCACTAAGTGCCGCCTTTGTATCCTCTAGGACAGACTCATCCATTAACGAGGAAGAATTTAAGTCAGTATCAGGTCTAATGATTGCTAACTCGGATAACTCTCCTGCCTTCAAGGCCTGGCTAAACTCGCCATCAGACATTTCGTCTAGCTCACACAGAGCGTCCACAGATGGAAGGGTTTCGAGGCTCACGTTGTTATTAACCTGACCAGTCACTCCATTAACAAGTGTATATAGTGTATTGCTAATCTCACTATGTGACTGTGAGGACGCCTGGCGCTTAAAAGTAGCTACCCGGTGTCTCGATCGTCTCTTCGAGACCTTACACCCCTTAGGGGTCGGGAGAATATTGTCCCCATGGTTACTACCAACCATAGTACGCTCTACACGAGAGCTTTTGTCTTGACCGACATTCGGTGAAGTGTTGCATAACTCGAACACTTCACCCAGTGGATTGAAACGTGCCACTCCACGTGTATTATGCGGGCCTAGCATCAAATTTAGCGGCACCTCGCCAATAAGGTCATTACCGACATTAGGTGTGGTGCCCTCACGGCCGTCCACACTATACGGCGCATCGCCAACAACGCCATTACCGGCGTTAAGCGTGGTGCCCTCACGGCCGCCCACACCATATGGCGAATCGCCAACAACGCCATTACCGACGTTAAGCGTGGTGCCTTCACGGCCGCCCACACCATATGGCGAATCGCCAACAACGCCATTACCGGCGTTAAGCGTGGTGCCTTCATGGCCGCCCACACTAAATGGCATATGGCCAAAAATGTCATTACCGACAATCAGTGCGGTACTCTCACGGCCGACCGCACTCGGTGTAGTTTCACGTGCCACCATACACACATCAAAGGAATCACATCCTTGATCACTCGGCCCTAGGCCAACCATGCTTTCAGCATGCAGTGACTCGTTATCACAACCAGTACCACTCAACGGAGTACGTGCCGTTTCACTAGTTTTAGATGAGCTAGGCTCGAAACTTATGTTTGTAACATTGGAGTTAGATAAACCAGACACTTCAATATCCAGCACATTGACATCTTCTGTCAAAGGCTCGTGCTAATAGCGCTTTTGTTGCCCGGCGAAGGTGGGTTCATGACTCTCCAAAGCTTCGCTAGAAACATTGCGCGTAGCGCCTAAGGTCTTAGACCTCCAATCAATCCATGGCTCATGGCGCTCAAGCCAAGCCATACCTAGGATGAGATCATATCTCGAGTCCAAATCTAGGACAAGACAGCTCTCAATGCTGTCAAAGTGTAAAACTTTATACCCGAGTTCAACGAAACTCTAGGCACCGTAACGCGACTCCCAGTCGCTAAACGAACTGTGATAGAATCACCCTCATGCGCTGTAAGCGCCTCAGCATAACGCTGACTTCCTTCAAGGGAACGGCGTCGAGCTTAATTGCAAGACGCTCCAGAATCGATCAATATCGACTAAGGCTTCTCGAAGCCCTTAATTTTCGCCTCGGCGACCAACAAGCCAGACTTGTATCCACGCACCATACCTGTAGGTATGGTACTCTTTGGGGCGAAGCCCTGCATTCCTTTACCTTCTAAAGGTGTAACAGAACCTAGATCTTCCCCAGTAGGGCGCCCCGCGCCTACTGGGTGTCGGCATTTCCCCGTGCCATGCCAGACCTCTGACTCGGGCTCGAGTGTTGGCTCGTAGTCTGGCGTTGCTTACGCAAAGGGCAACCAGGCCGCAAGTGTTTAGTGCTTCCGCACATAAAGCATCGTCGTACGACGCGTTGCTGCTCAGCAGCTTGAAGCTCAGCTTCACCTTCATCTTCAGCTTAGCTGAGATCCATCGGTTCCGGCCTATTATAGGCAGTGGTACCCAAATAGTTTGCTCTCACAGAGCGAGGATTGAATCCATTCCAACCAAGTCTGGCCGACTTGAAGTTATGCTCAGCATTAAAAGCAATTCTCACAGCCTCTTCAAACGTAGAGGGGTGAACCCGAAAAACCTCGGTTCTGGCAATGCCAGTACGTAGACCTTCCATGAAGATAGTCACATAGACTGCTTCAGACAGAGGTTTAGACTGCATTGCAGCCATGAGCGTTCGCAGCTCTTGGACATAGTCCGATAGTTCATTCTTACCCTGGCGGGTATAAAGAAAGCGTGAACCCACGCGGTAAGCTGGTTAGGTGGAGAAAACACCTGTACCAATTGTAACTTGAGCGACTCCCATGTGGGAAACGCTATGTCCACCGACGTGCTACACGTCAAGACCCATTCTCTAGCTCTACCATCGAGCTTCAAGATAGCCAGCGAGACCTGTTGATGGTCAAGCGTGATCAGGCCTGATCTCATGGCCATCTCGATCTCACGGATCCAGAGGATAAGGTTCTCGCCCTCCTTACCGGAGTAGTTTTTTACTTCCACTCTAAGTGGACGAGACTTAGCCTCTTCGTCTGGTACAGACACGTAGCGTGTAGGCATAGCCGACGCTATTTGGTCTTGGACCTGCCCTAAAAGGGTCGCTTCATACTGCATGAAGCTTTCAACACGTGCATTAAGCACTTCAGGACCTTGTGAAACAAGGAACACCACGTACTCGGGACCCAAAGATGCGGTCAGCTTATCAAGCGCGACGTTTTGGGCCTCATATAGGGGAGTGGAGCTTTCCATCCCCACAGAGGATCAGTCTTAAAGAAGCAGGCGTAGATTGACTACAAGTGCTACCAAGTGTAGCGGGGCTACACAGCTCCTTAAGTCAGAGGAAGACTTAACGCTCTTCGAGCAACTTAGTTCCAAAGAACTAACGGCTTTACGAGTCAACAAGCTCTACAGCTTCAGATCCCTGTTCCAGGGGGACCTAACGATTCAGTGAATCGACAGCACTTAGTGCTCAAGAGTAGCTACCACGAGGAGGTGTCGCTAGCTCTTAGTGATCAGTGATCAACGATCAAGACGGCTCGCAAGCCACGTGTCTTTCAGATCAAAATGGGAACTGATTTTATTTTTGTTAAAGCCTATAGAATATCTTAATCCTACTCAAAGATCTTTCGTACCTAATGGCTGACACTCGTCAGCCCCTACAAACCAATAAGATATTCTATATCATCTTCACAAAGGGGTAACCTCAGGTGTGTAACACCTCTGGTACAACGTACCATAATTTCGTGCAACCCCGTTACACCCTCCCTGTCCAATCGATGGTGAATTGAGACTGGACTGCGGCACTTCACACTACTCAGGCGAAAGTTCGTTAGCTTGTTAATCCGACCCCGACTCGGCTCGTTCAGCTTTATGGGAACGGGGACAGATGGATGAAACGTCGTCGTAGTTATAGCGCATTTGAACGGCGTGCACACTTTTCTTAGGTGCTGTGAATAGAGATACAGCTATTGCGCGACACAAGGTAGCCTCTCTACCCATTCGAGACACGATGTCTCTGCTCGACTGGCAAGACATCCGACGGATTCCTGAAGCCGCGGCTTCTATGGTGCATGCATTGTTTCGGATCAAAGCTAGCAAGCGCACTCTCTGGAACATTGACCGCGGCGATCGATCTTTTCCACATCCTACGAGTGACACCTCCATCTTGGCTTCCCTTCAACACGTCTTCTGGGATTGTCCTATGGCAGCCACTGCGTGGCAGGACCATCGGGCGCGATGGAGAGCGCTAAGAGACAATTTGGATAACTGCCTCCGGCTTACAGCCTTTATGTGAAGACTTGTCGTTCACTAGGTAAATTAAAAACTGAATTAATGTAGGTCCTTAGTTCGCTACCTTGTGCTACTCTAAGCCCACCCGTCTTGATCCTTCCAAAAGCTTCTTCAGTGACGTCAGCTAATGACGTCAGACCTATCCTTTCACGTTTTAACCTTTTACGCTGTTATTATCACTTTACTCGGCCGCACGCACCTAGCGGCCTGACACTTCAGCCTTGATGTTCCAGACACGCAAAAAAAGGCATGGGCCAGCTTCCGGAATGCTCTGGGTGATATCGATAATGAGCGCGATTATCAGGATGAAGTTCATGATGCTGCCCGACTGCTTTGACGGCTAATGGCTTCTTTTACGATACACGCTATATGGTGCGCTCGCCACCGGCTACGACTTGAGGAGGGCGCTACCTTAGCGACTTTATGGGCGGTCATTAACTGAAGGGTTCTAAAATGGGATCATGCAGCTTCGGCTCGGGAATTTGACGATCGTGTGTCTTCGCAGACCCGTGTTCTATCAGCGCTTGCCACGATGCTAGTACAAGTGTACATTAACGATGCCGGTGAGTGTCCGCGCCCTCTGACGGTTAATGACGTCAATTTACTATTCTTCGACGGAGGACCAAGGGAATATTCCGGTCCAGGTGATGTTGTGTCGGTTATTGTTCGACTTGATACCGACACTCATGCGGCTGAGCTACATACACTGCCATCATGTCGTATGGTAGCACTACCACAACGATCAATACCGCTGAATATTGGGTACATACACTGCCATCATGTCGTATGGTAGCACTACCACAACGATCAATACCGCTGAATATTGGGTCCTCGTCCATGGCCTACGTCGTGTTACAATCGAGGACTACACTTCGCTCCATTTCATCAGGGACAGTGCCATGATCATCCGACAGCTACGGCACCATCGTCCACCGAAAAGCATGCGAAGACCGATGCTAGTCGGCGGACGGTGGTGCCGTAGCTGTGCAAGATGCTGTGCAGAATGCCTCGGCGTACTGAGCTGGACGCACCGCTACCGCGATTTTAACATGATGGCTAACCGAGCCGCCAACATTGCTATGTACCCCTCTCGTTCAGTCCAGACGTCCGCGGACGACGACCGGCACATTTTGGCTGATCTAGCAAGATTCTTGGTCAGTGACGTCGGGCACTGGACATCCACGCACCAATAGGTGTGACCCGTCCTTGACACCGTTTTTGACTGGCTCAGTAACGCCTGTTCTTGGCGAGTACCCCATTTGGATGGGAATATCCTTAATCCACACCTCACCCCAGTCGCAGTCGGTTGTCTCCTAACATGTGTCCCGTGTAGTGTAGAAAGTAACGAATCCATCCCGGACATTAGTGATCTCTAGAAGATTCTCAATGAACCTCACCTTCGACAACAACAACATGTCATTGGTTTGCGCCATTGCCTCTTAGCATGTCCAAAGTATGCCTTCCACACATATTCTACCATAAACTTGCTCACTAAAGCGCTTTGACTGGAGCGTGCAATGACTCCGGAATGCTCGTACAAAAGACGCTAAGAAACCCTGCAGCAATGACCCCAAATGTGTTCTCCCAGCTCTGAGCACACTCGCATACTTCATTCCTAAAGAGAGCTGTTTTAGCTGATAATGTGCATCGTGATGTTCGCTGCGGTAAACGTTAGCGATGCAGACTTTGTCATATGTAGTAGCCTAAGAGCTACACCTGTTCAACCTCGTTGAACAGGCTGCCAGCATCGTCTTGGCAACATCTACACGACCGTTACCTGTGATGTTCACTTTTGTCGCTTGTCCATGTAAACCACTGATCGCGATCTGATTTCCCTCTGACACCAGGAGTGTCCGAATTACCTTGTTACAAGTCATCCACTGTTCGACGAACAAACCGGGCATGGATACATCGCTGCTGGAGAGCAATAAACACAAAAGTGTGGCAGATTAGAGGTCATCGTGACATAGTTTGACGTACTTGTAAGAGTACGCGAACTCTAAATGAAAACGTTAGATGATAACGACCGTGCGCGATAGTCACCAAAGTTTGGAGGAACACTTATGAACAATTCGGCTGAATCGTTCATGGGAATTTCCCTAAATGCAAAGGTTTCGTAGAAAGTGGTACCAAAGACTAGTCGTTTGCTTTTAGGAATGCAAGTGCTTGCTGTATAGCGCTCTCGTGGATACAGCACATAGTAGACGATCGAACTGTTGGAAGCAATTTTTGCGAAGTCGGGTAGAGATCATATTTGACTAGCGCCATCGTTTGTTCTACATGAAATTCACTGAAGCAACCGATAGTTTGTGGTCCCTTAAGAACATAGCTGCTAAGACGATGTTAACTATGCATCAAAAGTCAGAGCACAAGTAATGACTTCATGGTGACTATTGCCAGAAGAACGAGCACTTGTCTGTTGACAACGAATGGTAGATCTAAAAACGGGACGTAGAAAGCGCTTCACAGGGTGGACGAAGCTAGCTCTCCGCTGGCAGCGAAGGAATACTCGTTTGCCATTGACTATGAACTCGATAAATGCGACTCTACTATGCCGATACGTACTCAGCATAAGAAGAATTGCTGCATCGGATTTACGGTCAGCTGGTTGTAAGGTCGTGTCATCGAGGTAACTGGGAATGACCAATTCTAGCTGGATCAAGCCACTAGGGTTTTTTGAAAAATCAGTTTCACGCACTCTCGATTCGATGGAAGTCGAGTTTAGCAGCGTACCTTAGTGTCTCATGCGAAGCTTGCGCATGCGATTCATGTCCTCTGGTACGTCTTCTTGCATAACGGAGTTAAAGTCAAAATCGGGCATGGCATTGCTCTTCTTGGGTTCTTCGTGCGAGACATCTTGTGGCTTAGAATCGGCCTTGTGCTGGTCCTCTCCATTGACAACCTTCTCGCCTTCACTTTCGTGCACAGTGCCAGCACCAGCAGTGTCTGTGCCCATTGCCTTCCAGTAGCTAGCGGCTTCCGCGTTCCCCTGCCAACCCACCTGCTTGCCTGCGCTTCCATCCTTCTCGTTTGCCTTCCAGTCGTTATCGGATTTCTTGTCCGCCTGCCAAGCAGTCGAATCCCCTTCACTCTTGTGCGCATTGCCGGAGCCCGCACTGCCATCCTTGCCGTTTCCCTTCCAGCCATGATCGTCTTTCGTGTCTTCATTCCAGCCAGTCTTTTCCGTTGAGACTGGCACATCGGTAGTTTTCGGTGTCTCGTCAGCTGGATGGTCTTCTTGCGTCACGCTGTTCTCGGCATCTTCCCCACCCGCAAACTCGTCGAAGCCAGGCACGGGGGCGGTGTCACTTCTTTTTGAGGCACTCGACTTTTGTTTTTCTTCGTGTGGAACATCCTGTGAGTGATCAGTGGACTCCTGGTGTTCCTCTCCATGGACAGGCTTCTTGTTGTCTCCTGGGTATGGAACAACAGTTCCAACAGAGGCGTCGATGTCTTTGGAAGTGTCTTTGCTCGAACCAACAGAATCATCTTTACTCTTGTGCATGTTGCCGGAACCAGCGCTACCATCCTTGCCACTTGCCTTCCCGCCAGACTTGTCCGTTGAGACTGGCACGTCGGTAGTTTTCGGTGTCTTGTCAGCTGGGTGGTCTTCTTGCGTCACACTGTTCTCGGCATCTTCCCCACCCGCAAACTCGTCGAAGCCAGGTACGGGGGCAGTGTCACTTTTTTTTGAGGCACTCGACTTTTGTTTTTCTTCATGCGAAATATCCTGTGAGTGATCAGTGGACTCCTGGTGTTCCTCTCCATGGACAGGCTTCTTGTTGTCTCCCGGGTATGGAACAACAGTTCCGGCAGAGGCGTCGATGTCTTTGGAAGTGTCTTTGCTCGAACCAGCAGAATCATCTTTACTCTTGTGCTTGTTGCCGGAACCAGCGCTACCATCCTTGCCACTTGCCTTCCCGCCAGACTTGTCCGTTGAGACTGGCACGTCGGTAGTTTTCGGTGTCTTGTCAGCTGGGTGGTCTTCTTGCGTCACGCTGTTCTCGGCATCTTCTCCACCCGCAGACGCATCCGGGCCAGATATCGCGACGCCGCTCTTTTTCGAGGCACCCGATGGTGCGACAGCATCTTTCAATTCGCCAATGCCAAAGTTGCCGCTAGCCTCCGCAAATTGTGTAGCAAGGCCTGCCTTGTAACTAGTGATGTACTTCTTGAGACTGGTGAACTGGGAGCTCACCGCATCTCCTGTACATCCCTTCAGAGGTGCGCTGCTTTTAAAAACGTTCACCGAGCAGGCGCGGCCGATGACCGCCTTGCAGTCGTTAGCTGCAGTTGGCGCAAACATGCTGCCGGATTTTCCCTGGTTTGTTGACGCTACCGAAGCAAAGTAGTTGCCTTCTGCCAGAACGTATCCTCCCTTGTCCACATCAAATGCGTGGCCAGAAATCTCGCTGAAGAAGTTGTTGGCAGCGTGAACAACTACCGTATCGTCGCCGTGACCTCCAACCCTGGGTGACCGACCTGAGGTGTGGTCGATGTAGTTGCCAAGCAGACTCACCTCAGTCCTTTTGCCATATAACAAGATGCTCCAGTAGTGGTGACTGTCACACGAAGCTGAGAACTTTGTGTTGCCATCGAAGTCTGTGTTACTGACCGTGATTCCTGTCGCACCGGAAAAGTTGACCACCAGCATTTGCCGTCCGATATTGGAAATCTTGACATGGTCGATCCAAATACCCTTCGGTGCGTCATGTTTACCAATGCTGATGGCATCACCACCCCACACCAGATGAGGATTCAAGTTTGTGATGTGGATGTTTTGCACAATCACGTTGCTACCGGAAATAAGAATACCTTTGCCGTTCAGCACTCCTTTCGTGCCCTCACCGATCAGCGTCTTGTCGCTCGCTACAGTCAGCGCCGTCCTGGCGGCTTTATCGTAAGTCACTTGAACCATCTCGTCTCCGATGCTGCATCCGCCATTCTGGTCCGAGGACGTTGAGACTAACACTTTAATCGCGTCTTGTCCTTTGAAATCGTTCTTTTTGGCGAGGCATTTCTGTTGACTCTCCGGACGACAGCCGCTTTCTGTAGTAGACCCCTCGGTTTTAATGAACGTGAACTCCTTGTTGAGTACGATCACCCGCGGCTCGGCGTCGCTTAGGTAAGTTTCTAATTCCTTGTTCGTTTTCGGGTACACGGGTTTCGCGTCACCACCTCCTGTAGTTCCTGTGGCGAAGCCGTAGGCTGCACCCGACACGAGTGATCCAGCAGAAGCCAAGTAATAGTGAACTTCCCATAGTGCCAGAGCAAGCAGTGTGCCCAGCAGCCCACGAGCCATCTATTCGCGTTCAAGTCTCCTTTCGTATGTATTCCAGGGACGAGCTAGCTACGCGTGACAGTCCAAGCAAAATTTAGAATGCGATCCACCTACAACTCCGACCCGTTGCAGGGGTTGTGCAAACGTGAACATGTACAGGTCTCAGCTAGTGAACATCAACAAGATTGGATATTACGGCGTATTGGCGATACCACAACGGCGACTGCCAGCCACAAAAGCTTGGTGCAGAAACACCGACACCTATTGTGACAGCTCAAACGGACGCTGAAGTTGGTCGGTCCAACCGTACGCGCAAATCTACTGGGTCGAGGTCGTGTCTCCATGTGACGAGATACACTTTGCGCGCTCTATGGCCTGGAAGAAGTGTGGCGCTTGATGCCCCATCGTGATGCTGCCTTTAGTCTGCAAATCGTGCCCTGGCATTACAAATGTTTCATACGCCGGTGGCCTGGAATTTTTGCGAGCACAAGCCGTCGTGACGCACGTTTTTGTCAGCTTAGTGCGACTACGACAGCTCACGATCGATCAATAATGTCACTTTCCTTGCTCAAATAAAATGATCTCCGCAAGTCAGTGCTTCGAACATTGTACGTGCTTGATTCCGCCCACTCCTAATGCAAAGGTGACCAACATGAAGTGCATATCGGCGACAGACAACGTGACAGTTGACGAGACCCTGCGGGCGTATAAAGGTTACCCAGGCGTGCGCAGCGCCATTGTGCCATAGTCATAAACGGGCTGTTCGATTACTACGGCCTTTCGACCTCGCAGTCACTCCCACACGGACTGACTCTTTTGATTCCACGTGCTTTCAACCCCTCGGTGTCTCTTTTCTCCAAAAGCGGCTGGTTCTGTTCAGCACAGCCTGTCGCTACTGAATATCTAATGCAAAGCTGTGCCGTCGCAGTAACGACGACCCTCACGTTCACGAGACCCTAACCGTCTCCACACGTACTTTGTCACCATGGGCTTCCTGCATTTCTCATTCCCTGAATGGTGTTGTTGACTGCCACGCCACTTCTGGTCAAGTGCTGCTGTGCTTAAGCTTTCGGATATTCGCTCTTGTTCGTTGAACTGACAGACGGCGGCGTTGCAGCCACTAGCCTCCTAGATAGCTTGTATTTTGCTCCTCTCACGTCGCCAGCGCTAGACGAACTGCATTTCCCGCAATTTGACGCCGGTATATTGAGGAAAGGTAATTGACGGCGTCGTCCAAGTAAATGTAAGCGCCGAAGTGAGCCGTAATCTCGACAACTTACGCACGTAGTTCATGTTCTCACGGTCGTGTGGTCGCAATTGTGGTATCGCGTGTCTGTATAAACGCACTGTTTGGAGCCGGTCACCTACGTTTAATGATACACACCGTCAGTCAACATGTGACACAATGGCTTCGTGAAGCTTGCACCTTTGAAGCTGGCTCTACAAACCGTGCTTAGTGGAAAAGAAGTGGAAGCAATGTTGTACCGAAAGCAGCGAATGGTTGTAGTGGTAGAAACAACTATGCCTTCATTCTTTTATACTGGTTGTGGTTAAAGGAGGAAAGTGCGCTCAGGGTGTTCAGCGCCATGAGCGATTGTGTCGTCGTGGCGGTGGTGGCATGCTAAGCCGTGGCCATGCCAGTCTATGCTCTTTTTCCATGTTTTTGGTAGAATCAAAGCTGTTTGGCCTCTGGTTGGTACTTCCCAATAGCAGCAGCCGGATGAATGACATAACTTGCGGTGACTTTAGGTATGATTGTTTCTAGGAGGGTAACACAAGCGCTTTCTTCAATAAAAAGTGCACTCCATCGTTAGTTGTCCATGAGCTCGAGTACAGATAGAAAAGTGGTGGCCGTTGCGAAGCGAAATGCACCGGATGTCGCAGATCTCCGTGTCATCACATAATCTACCGCAACCGTTCATCATCTTGTCGGAATTAAAAGATGACACATGCGTTCCAATGCCTCTATCATAACGACCAAGTTGATAATCTCAACGTTTGTTCAGCACGTTAAAGATGCAAGACCGTAATCAAGTCTTGGTAATGATGCCGACGAAAAAGATATCGTTGCGCTTTTTTTTACTAACATCGTGAGCATCAGCAACTTCTCGCGACCATTTATCAAGTCCCCTGGTGTAAGGCATACCATTGGACTCTCAGATCCATCAATTTTCCGACTGGGATTGCAACGTTTTGGTCGTCGGTGGTGACCACATGAACCTTAGAACTGTAAGGATGGCGACGCCATGCAATTTGCATTCGGATTTCATCCAGCAAGCAGAGGGTTCCGACGGCTAGCCCTAGCCGTATAATAGCTGTAATCATAAACCCATACCGACAAAGCCCTCCTGCCCGCCTATTCTTCAACCAACGCATCGAAGTAATATACTAGCGCCCTGCTAGCGCAACTTTGACCTTGGTACGCCCAAAGTGAAATATAGATTACACCCAACCATGCGAGCAAAGGTAACGTCGAGATGATAGTAATGTCAGCACCAGAATCAAAAAGGAAAGTGGCCTTCTCAGTGTTCATGTTGCCTACTGCCTTCAACTGTCTGAACACTTCACTGGACCGTGGTGCTTCTAGTAGTCACGTGATTCACCGGCGCTAGATCTTTTTCCATAGTCGGTTACGATCGCGAATATTCATCGATCCTCTTATCACTGGATACTGCAGCTAGAGTGGGTAAATGTTGATGGCATATACTTGCTACAACATCTCCCTCTTCCTGTACCTTGCCATCCATCTCCTTTTCAAGAAGGCAAAGACATAAAAGCTTGGAACGCTAGGATCGTACCAGCTTCCAACTTGGTGGGCATCTTAGTTTGACGTCTTTTCAGTCTAATCAGGGAGCTCTCCTGCGTGTGCATTCGGCACGATCCATTGGCAAATCATGTCAATCATGTAGTAGAACGAATCATCTTGTAGGGCGAATCATGTCGTATGGTCAACAACCTGTTTACGGCACAATTGTGGATCAATTCGGAGATTTTATTTGGTAGCTTGAATGAAACAAATCGGATATATCTGAAAACACCTGATTAATAGCCATTCTAGCTACGGTTCTAATGCACATCGTTGCAGCTTCGTAAAAATTGTGTACAATGTTTTAGGAGTTGGAGAAATATAGTCGAATTCGGGCCCATTTTACTGGGCATCGGATTAGTGCGCGACTACTGGTCAGACGCTTCTGCAAGCATTACTTCAACAAGTATCCTTTCTGTTGTGCCGATCATTGTTGTACACTTCTTCTGCTTTTGTATATGCTCTGGAGGAAGGGTGAGAATCGCATTCTGGACTGTGGCGACCACATTTGGGTGAAGAACAAGTTAGGGTGTATTGCCAAAGTCATCTTTCACTCTCCCAGCTTGATACTCACCGAGGAGCTTGTGTAGTTGACTCAGAGAGAAAGGGTGTAGTCCAGTACCCCGAAAGCCTCCGATTGCATTGCTCGAGTTCTCAATGATGGCGCCACGGTATACATAACACGCAATATCGATGAATGTCTATTTGTACAGTGCTAGGTCCGCCGTTTCATTCGTTTAAAGCTGCAGACCCTCGCGGATGATTGTTTTGTAAAATGCTACCACTGGCGGCTGGAAGATGTGCTTTGCGTTTGCAGGCGAGGCTATAAAAGGATGACATGTTCACAACAGAAGTTCTCCTAGTTTGAAAATTGATAAGCCAAGAAAACTGATTATGATTAGAACATAATAATGATGAAACGTGGGCAAAAATTGCTCTATTCACATGCGTGAAGAGTCATCCGAAGTCAAAATGACTGGGTTTCAAAATCCCTTGGCTTCCAGGACGGTAGTAAATATTTCCAACTAACCTTGAGAACTGTCGAACCGTTTTGGTGCACCGGGAACAAGCGCGTTGTCACTGGAGAGCGCTGCAAGCTTTGTCTGGAGCAGGCGAACGCCGGGGATGATGATAAGACGAGGGGCAGCAAAACCAGACGCACTACCGGCTGCCAACACAGTTATGCGAAATTTGGGCTTGGTCCCCTGCATTCACACGTTTATAGAGCCTCGATTGCAATGACGTTGCGAGTCGTGTACATAGGGATTAATGAATTCTCTTCCATGATAAAGACATGGAACAAGTCCTCATATTCTCAATTTTAAAGCTTGTATGTTGCGTTTATAACCCCGACATCCGACAACTCCATCACCGCTATTCGCACTCTCCCTATACTCTGAGAAGCGCGTAGCACAATCACCCGGTGGTAACCAAAGAATCGTGAGTACCATCTAGGCGTGAGTTACGTCTACTGGATGTATCTCGTGCACTTATACAGTGCGTCGCAGATCTGGGTGGCATGCTTCATTGTATCCGAGCAGGCAACCGGTTTGCCTACATGCTGCATGGCGGAAATTAATTCAGCCAGGTTACTCTCCAAATTTGCTGAGATTGTAGGCTTTGTGCTTCGACGCAGCCCTACAATCGACACCCTTTGCAGAAGATTTGCCTCCTTAGACGTACAGACGACGTCCACGCGTCTCGGTGTACTGTTCACCGTGGTTCACACTCTCCTGAGCATCCACGACGTCTTGCTTCGATTGAAGAAAGCAGGGCACTATCATCTATTTTTTCTTTTTTTTCTATTTAAAACACAAATGCTTCCTCCACTCACATTCTCTCGATAAAATTATGAAATCACATGCACACAGTTAATCGTTCATTGAAATGGTTCAAAACTCATAAATGAAAATTGCTTAAGATTGAGTTAATTATAAATACTTTGTCAGCTATCGGCATCTTTCACTAAAGTGTAACTGTGTGCAAAAACGGTTGGTTACCCTATGACTCTTTCATCGAAACTTTTCCCGTCTCATGCGCTTCCACGCACGCGTGGCACACGAAAAGACAGCTACATGATGAAGGTCTTTTACGCCTGAAATTCTGGCACGCAACCGTTTCCAGCACTCTAGATTGTTTCGTTTGATCAAGCTGCAATGAGCATATGGTTTTGACTAAGTACCTCGTACTGTATAATCTGAATCATAAGCATGTT